GAATGCCTGCCCATCGGAACTGGAATAGATCTTGGAACAGAGGAGTAAGGGAGGGAAAGGCCCCTCACCCCTACACCTCCCCATGGAGTTCCATCTAACCTGTGAGGGCTTTGTTACTCTAGCTCCCCACCCTGAGCAAATGAGCCCCCTGCCCCTTCTGCTTCAGGTCTGCAGGTGGGAATTCCCTGCTGATGCTGCCCTCCTGGACCCATTTGTTCTTCAGCATGGATGTCTGCCCGTGTTTAGAAAGACTCCCATGTTGGTCACTGTCCCTATCTTCTTTGGTCTGTGCCTTCATTTTTTCTTCTCTGTCTCATAGCCAAGGAATTAAGAAACTTCCTAAGTTTTAGCAAAGTGTTGAATACGTAAAACGATAGGAACAAGGCCGCTGACCTTGGAGCCAGCCTTAATGGAAGTGAGGGATGTGACTTCTCAGGTCCTGCTCTGTCCATGCTCTGCCATGAGGAGTGCCTCTCTGTCCAGAGTGTCTGGGGCACCTAGGCACCGTCCCTCTTGCTGGGTGGTGTGGGCTTTAGGGTGCTAACCGTGCCTTGGTCAGCTTTGTATTCTCCACAGAGCCTGATAATGGGCAGTGAGGACGGGTGGGTTGGTTGAATGAAAGAACCTGTCCTCCTAGAACAGAAAATCCTATACCTGGGATGTAGCTGAGTTTGGGAATGAGACCCAATGAAGATGAAGAAGTGAGTCAAAGGAATTCTGGTCAAGGATTAGAGGCCGCCGCCTCAAAACCCCATTTGTAGCCGGACTCCCGGACCCTTTCTCCCATATGCCTAGGCTGAAGGAGTGCTATGCAGTTTACCCACATTGCCTGCAGAGGGCGCCACAAGCTCACATCTTCCTCCAGGAGATTAGCAACACTCCCCTGCTTGTTGGCCCTGAGGGCTGGGAGGGTTCTTGCTGAGTCTCTCCGGTGGAAGCCAACTCTTGGAGGACCTGAAAGACTGGCCCATTCGGAAGGGCTGAAGCCTGAATCAAGTCTTCTTGCTCCTCCAGTCTGGGAATGGAGGCAAAGAGAGTTCAGTGGAGACCAGAGCCTTCCTGAGGGGGAATGGTAGCCCTAGGTTCCAGCTTACCTGGTGATGGTTGGGGGGTTACGGTATGTGGGACCCTTGGGGAGAGGAAAGGTTGTCCAAAAGGGGTCCTGGACCTCCGGGGAGGCTGGGTTAGTTCTAGGTGTCGCTTTGTCAAACCTAGACTTTCTCCTGACCTGGAATGGGAACAGTGGGCAGAGGGCCAGGCCCCAGCCCAGGTGAGCATAGACACAGCTGGGGTATCTGGCCACCTCAGGGCACCATGCTTTCCAAGATAAGAGCTTGGGTGGGCCCAGGTTAGGGGAGGACAGGGGAGAGCCCGAGCAGGTGCCAGGACAATGTCAAGGGATCTGGGCACCTGCTGCCACCCACTACATAGGCATCAGGGACAGTATGTGGCCAGGAATAATGA